ATATCTGGAAAACCAATTGTCTTATTTTTAAAATAAAAGAATTTGATGTAGTATGTGAAGATTGTTGTTTCAGAACGTTCAGTTCACTCTTTAATCCATTCAGCACTGCAGTAACCCTGACGTGGTGGTGGTGTGTTAGTGTGTGTTGTGCTGGCACGAGTGGATCAGACACAGCAGTGCTGCGGGAGTTTTTAAACACTGTGTCCACTCACTGTCCACTCTATTAGGCACTCCTACCTTGTCAGTCCACCTTGTAGATGTAAAGTCAGAGACGATAGCTCATCTGCTGCGGCACAGTTTGTGTTGGTCATCCTATAGTCCTTCATCAGTGGTCACAGGTTGCAGCCCACAGGACACTGTTGGCTGGATAGTTTTGGTTGGTGGACTATTCTCAGTCCAGCAGTGACACTGAGGTGTTTAAAAACTCCAGCAGCACTACTATGTCTGATCCACTCAGACCAGCACAACACACACTAACAAACCACCACGTCAGTGTTACTGCAGTGCTGAGAATGATCCACCACCCAAATAGTACCTGCTGTGTGAGGGTCCATGGGGGTCCTACAGGCTGTAATTGTAGAACTACAAAGGGCACCTATATAGTAAGTGGAGCTGATAAAATGGACAGTGAGCGTAGAAACAAGGAGGTGGCCATAATGAAATGCCTGATTGGTATATATATATACATACAAAAAAGGAATTCTTATCCTGTTTTTCCTCCTTTTGTTTTGTTCTTGGCTATATTCATGGTCATCATCTTAAATTACCACTATCAAATTATCCTTGGTGTGTTCTGTCTGTGCCCTGTCATATTCATAAGCACTGTGGAGTTTACTTTCACCAAAACACATGCAGTGTTCCAATCATTTACCAAAAAAGGTCAGTCTCCAGTCTGAGTGATAACAGAAAGGCCAAGCTCATGCCTTTTTTCTGAATCAGCTTGGAAAACCTGACAATCTGTTCTGAGGTCAGTATAATGGTACAAGTATACATGGCTGTAGCTATCTGTGTTTATGCCACTTTGTGAAGCTGTTTAAAATGCTCACTCATTCATGCTAGTTTACTATGACCACCTAAAAACATAAAAGAAAAAGTGAGAAAACTCATCTAAACTACTTTGATAGGAGTCCAAATAAGCTTTTAAACTGTTACAGCTGATCTGTCTAGGCAGCAGATGAAAGGAGGAACAATGCATGATCATTTAAGCTGAAGCTGATCAAAATCAACAAGGAACCTCCTTTTAGAAGTCGTCCTTTGAGCCTTCACTGAAATGCACCAACACCATTTTCATCTCTCTACGTGATATACTTAAAAAACCTCTGGTGCAAATACTGAAGTCATTAAATTACCCATAAGGCCAAGTTTCCCAGAAGGTCTCCACATGGTGTTGCAGTGAGTCACCAGGTTTACTGTACACCCTCCCACAAATCTCTGAGCAGTGTCTTCGTTCCAGCTCCACAAAGATGTAATTGGAGAGGTACAATAAAATGCACTGGCCTGCTTTTTGACCAAAGGTTCAAGTTGGTCAGCACATTCTTAGAAGTACAGTCTGAACAATTTGAGAAGAACTGCTGCTTGGCGTTATGTTCCATTCACATTTCAGTTCAGTTCACAAGACAGACGTTCTTAAGGCTACAGGACACCTACATAGGCCCTTTCACGACAACTAAAATAGACCTGCATAAACATTTCTAAACACTTCTAACTGTGATGTTATTTGTCATAGAGGTTTTGATGTTAAGCAAACATAACATCTACACAAAAGTATCTCTAGTATATCTAGGCAAAAGTATGAGGAAACCTGACCATCAAACCTATCTGAGCATGCTGGACATTCTTTTCCAAAACCATGGGCATTAATATGGAGTTTCCATTGCTCCAGAGTGCAGTGGCAGTATGCAACTCCAGCCAATGCTTGGCATCGCGCCTAGTGATCTTAGTCTTGTATGCCTGCTCGGCCATGGAAACCTATTTCATGGAGATCTCTTTGCCTAGTCTTTGTGCTGATGTTGCTTCTACAAGCATGGGCAAGTTTATATATACACTTTTCAGCACTTGGCAGCCCCGGACTGTGGGTTTACATGATCTAGCACTTCATAGCTGAATTGTTTTTGCTCCCAGACAATTCAGTTTAACAATGATAGCACTTACAGTTGACTGGGGCAGACCTAGCAGGACAGAAAATTCATAAACTGACTTGTGGCAAAGGCATCCTATGACATCCTATGACACTATGTTTAAAGTCACTGAGCTCTTCAATACAACTCATTCTACTGGCAGTGTTTGTCTATTGAGACTGCATGGCTATGTGCTTGATTTTATACACTTGTTAGCAATGGGTGACTGAAACACCTCAATACAATCATTAGGAGGGGTGTTCATTTCTTTTGGCGTTATGTGGCATAGGTGTTATGTGAACTTGACATCAAAGCTAAAAAAGCAGCCTTTATGAAGATGTCTATTGGAATAATCCTTTCCAAATGTTTATGTAGATTTAAGTAAGTAAAATTAATATATAAAGCACTTTTCATTGGCATAAGTCACAGTGCTTTACAGAAACATTGCACAATATATAAAAAAAAAAGTTTGTCAGTTGACATGATGAGGTAGATGTCCCACGGTTTCATGAGCACTGCCCTACCGTATAATGTTACAGAATTTTGTTTAGCAGTTTAGTAGTTATTATAGCCAGCAGGCTAGGCCTCAGAGTTTCAGCTAGTGATTCTTAGAATTGGTCACCTCATAAAACACATTTGAGACTTCCTAGCTGTTTTAACTGCATACCAATGTCACTATAAAGGGTAGAATTTAAAAATGACTGCAGATCTACCAAGACAATGAGCTGTCATAAGCCACTGCACATATGCCAAGAACTTTGTTAGAGTCTGCTGGCTTTAATAGCTTAATGGTAGCTTTACAGTGAGTCATAAGCAATTTGCAGTACGCCAAGTTCAAAGAAATGGAGATACTTTCAACTTTTATATCACCGCATGTGTTTCCCAAACAGTGTGTTAGCTGAGTGTTGTGACAGCATTTGAAAGAGCTAATGCTATTATAAGAGATCCCTCATCATGGAAATGAGACACAGATGAGTGTTTAGCTTTCACTTCTACAGGCCTACAGGCCTCCACTGTCACACTGCAAAGTGTGGCTTGTAATGAGTTTTCCACCCCAACAACACAGGGCTGAGTTCCAATAATACAGTGACAGCTTAATTAGTAAATCTATTCAGTTTAATTAGTACTGACAAGTTTAGGCAATTATGACCCCAAACATAGTGTTAAGCATCTATCATTGGAGGCTTTAAAACATGACCTGCATGATGACTCAGAGTTTAAAAACCACTGCACTCTTAATTGTGGATTATGATTTTTGTGTGGCAATTATGGGCCACAATATGTAGTGGTTAGTGAAGACAGGCAATAAAGGAAGAAATAAGTTGTCACTGGTGGTGGGTGGGTTGGGGGTGTATTGTGTTGTTAGGTCCCCCAAAACTGAAAGGGGGGAGGTGCTGTTTTCCATATACATAAAGACTGTGGCTTAGTTGATGGCAAGCCACATTCTGGTGCCATTATTTTATTGTAATACATACAGTATATCTACAAAAGTGTATAATAAAAAATAAAATAAATGATTAATAACTTAAATATATTCAACCACGATTATTGCTCTTACATCCATGTCCCTAAATGAAATGCCTGCCATTAGAAAAGGAAGTAACTTCAAAATACTTCCCCCACCCCCATTGTTTAACCCAAGTTGACCACCCATGGGTAGAGCTATGCTGAGTGAGCAGATAGGCCTTAGGGGGATTGAGCCCCTGCCCTTTTGTCCTTAGAATGTATAAGCACCCTCATGGTCAGTCTGTATAATAATCATATTTTTACTGCCCCATCAAGATCTCATTCAGTGAGGCTCAGCTCAGCCTTTCCCCGGAAACAGAGCTGGTTGGTCGGATCCAGATCCAGAAGCTTCATCGCTTTTGGGTGCCTCTTCTGGATTCTGGTACACTATTGACTGGCTGTGGAGGTCGGTAGCTCCAACCTGCTCATATCACCTAGAAAGTGCTGGAAATCCCAAGGATAAAGCACCGAAAATCTCTTTAAGAATCCATCATATACCATAAACATAATGTCACAAGTAATGGGTGATAATAAATGGCTAAATTAAGTTTCAGTTATTGTAAAAAGAGGGATGCCAGGCTCTATGGAGCTCTTAAACAGTGTTATAACTTACTGATTCATATCAATTACATAGCAGCTGGGTAAAATTACAGCCTTGTACGCTGAAAATCTGGGTTCAAATTTGATGTCTTGAAAAAAAAAGCTAGTATTTTTCCTGCCTTGAGATAAACTCTTAATTTTTGACTTACTATTTCAAAATAATGACTTTTCTCCCCCCCCCCAAAAAAAACATAATATCTCAAAATAAGTCAATTTGCTCAAGAAAAATATAATGATTTAAAGATACAAAGTCAAACCTTTTAGGAAAAAAAAATCAGTATTTTGAGATATTTAAAAATTTTGACAAACTGCTGCCAAAAACAGAGAAGGAAAAAAACAGCTGATTTTTTTCCTTCCCTACCTGGCAGAATTGGGCATCCATACTTAAAACTACATGACAACAGTGTCCAAGACATGCTCTAAATTATATGAAAATGGATTAACATTCAGGCTGTCCTTTTTTCCCCTTGAGCCCCTAACCCCCAAAAATGTCTATGCACAAGCCTGGGGGAGCAGACAAATCAGAGACGTTCTCTAAATGGGGGAGGGCTGTTACAAGTTTGTGATGAGGCCAGACACAGAGGAAAGGAATGCCTCTGCCTGAGAAAGGGCAGAAAGAGTGAAAGAAGGGAAGGAAAGGAGGAGACATGAGTAGAGAGGAGGAGGAGGGAGCAGAGGTTTGTATGTGAGTCCTGTGTGTACGCGTGGCTGTGGTTCAGACTGTTGAATGAGAGGGCCTTGTGCAGCTTCAGTCTGGCTGCTTCCTTTCTCTCCAACGAGAGTGTGTGTGTACACGAGTGGAAGTGCTGACAGCCAGCCAAACCACCCCATAGCTCACGAGCAGTCGGGGCACAACACAAGCCAAAAGGCATTCCTAATAGTCGGTAAAAGCCACCTTTGTCGTCAGGGACGCCGGCTTTATTTTTCTTCACTGCAATGAGTTTCTGGAGGCTCTGGAGAGCCTGGCTTCTCCATTCCCTCAGCCAGCTTCTCCTGCTGCTGCTGTCGCTGAGCCCCAAGCAGACAGAAGCCCACCCACAGTGCCTGGACTACAAGCCTCCGTTCCAGCCTCAGGAGTCGCTGGTTTTCTGCAAGGAGTATGCCAAGTTTGGCTGCTGCGACTTGGACAGGGACAGCCAGATTTCTCAGCAGTTCTACCAAATTATGGACTACTTTGATCATTCTGGATACATGGCCTGTGGGAAGTACATCCGGAGCATTATGTGCCAGGTAAGAAACCTCAGACCTGGCCTGCCAGTGCTGTCATCAAACAGCAGCACATCACTACTCATGCTGGGTTTTGGCGCCAAGGGATTCCAGTGTCAAAAGCAAGAACTTTACATGTGTAAAGATAAAGAGTTCAGCCAAGCAAACAAATGCCTCTTTAATGTTTTAAAGTCCTTTACAAAATGCTTCTTTATGGCATGTTAAATTTAAAATCTTTGAATCTCCTCAAGGTGATGTTTACAGTGAACACATCACTCAGTCTGGGGGAGGTGCTTACATCCACTGCTCTGATGCTGGAAGATGGAAACATTCCGAGGTCATAATTTTTCTATTAGCTTGACTAATCAGGATGTTGCTTTTAATCTTATGCACATTTTTGTTACTGTGTTCCAAGACATTCAAGCATTCTGATAAACAGCATCTAGAATCTTTGTATGACAATTTTTGTATGACAATTTGGGTATTTTTTTTTAAAGGGAAACTCCACCACTTTTTCAAACTTTCTGCATATTTAAATGGTTAACATGTCAACAAAATCATTCACAGAAGTTGGTGTGAAATGCTTTGTTCTAGAGCAGCTTACAGATTCAGAATTGTTCACAGTGATGGTGATAGGAGCCAGATGTCTGAAGTGTTCAACGCCTCTATAAGGCTCCCTCCCAGAAAGCCATTACATAAAATTGTTACGAATACGCTGCCTGATGTCTGACACATTGTTTTACAGTAGTTTTGTTATAAAGTTTTGAGTCAAAAATGTATTATAATCAACTTATTGTAATTTATTCATGGTGGAGGGATACATGAAGGGTGTTCTAAGGCAAAACAGACCTCTGAGAAAACATCTTTCAGAAAGATCATTTCTTAGCATCATCAACGTTAAATAAAAACTCAGAAGACACGTGTGGGTTCATTGGTGATTTGGGCCATATTTGCGTTGTAGACATCAGGACTCCTGGTTCCTCTCACCACCACTGTAAAGAAATCTGAGTCTGTATGTTTCCCTGCAAACGAACCACGTTACATGACTCAAACCACTCTGAATGACTGTTTATATCTCAACCACAGATCTATACAGAAATTTTGACAAATCGGTGGAATTCCCCTTTAAGCTCTTTTAAGACAAAATAAGCTTGAGTCTATTTTGTTTTGTCTGGGCCGAATGAGACAGACTCAAACAAAATTGCACAAAGACACTGAGTATGTTCAAGTATGATGGGCAGATATGTGATTCAGGGCAGTTCTTACATTTTTCCCTTTAATTTCTTTTAAAGTCCAATGGTAATTTCAACAGCGCCCTTTGCAAATAATTGGATGAAGATTTAGAACAGAAGTGTATTATTATATAAAACCATGAACTACTTTGAAGCTTATTTCACACATATAAGATCAAACGGCCCTTTCAGTGATGTATGTTGTTTCCCTTTGCTATAATAAATTAGTTTTGCTGTGCTCGCAGACTCATTCAGTCTCCACTTAAATGATTCATTTTACTGCACTGAAACTTCATAGGCTGTGCAGTTGACCAAGAGAAAGCCTGCATCCCTCCGCTACTTAGAGTGTTGCTCAATGATACCTTATATCTATCACAGCTACAGGGAGCTGCTTGTGTCACAGTAGAGACCTGAGGAGAAACAAAGCATCCTCTTCCCTTCTAATCAGGGATAGAACATTGATATTCCCAGAGAGAAGCTGTGGCACAGAGTAGGAGTGATATATTAATTAGAGATATTAAAAAGTGAAAGAAGATGGAAGCATAGGAAAAAGGGAGAAGTGCTGTAATGAAACGTAAAATTATGGCGATTAAGTCAGCTTGTTAATTGGTTTTAAAATAACTAAGGATTTAAGCAAATATTGTTTTACATATTTATTCCCCTAACAATGTGAGATGAAAAAATAATAATAACTACACAATGATTTCAAAGTACTTCTCACTGTTTTATTAGTTGAAAAGCCTTGCTGTAATTTGTTCACACAGAATGAACTGCTATACAACACATTGTGTACTGTGCCTTTAGGACTGATATATGCAAAGGGCCTCTGCTCTGACTGGCTGCCCTGTATTGTGCATTTAAAAAGAAGTCTGGGCCCAAAAGCAGTGGATAAAGTGCTGTAGGCTAAATTGGTAGAAATAATGAGTTGTTTTTCATGACATCACAAAAACAATGAATTTAAAATGTCCTCTTTCCAGCATAGTTTCCTTATATGGACTGTATGGACTGGGTATGTTTTGAAACTTTAACAATGTTAAACTATAAATTTTCCATGATCAAAAAGGAAAGGGTCTTTAAAGACCCCTTGTACTTTCCATGACTTTTGTCTACCTCTAAAATGTCTTCTGATTTTCAATTATATCATTGTGAACCAGTGAGTAAGCAAAAATAACATAATAATAATAATAATAATAATAATAATAATAAATACTTTATTTATTAGTTTGTTTGTTTGTTTATATACAGTTTAACCAAAGTGCAAGTACAGGTAAAAAATAAATATACTAGTAAAGGTTGAAGTATGATTTCCTTTTTTTTGCTCATGTAGAAGTATAAAAGTACATTTTCGTAGATGTACTTAAAGTTCAAATGTAAAATATTTATTTAAAAAGACTTTCTAATACATTTTTAAACATGGGTCGTCCTTACTGAGTGTTATTTAAATGGGCGCAACCATGACATTTAACATTAAGCATGAATAATGGTGTATGCTATTTGTGCCAAATATTTTAATCAGATTTTAATCAGTTTTATATCTTTTTGGGGGGAATGTTTTTCTGACGTATTAGCTTCCAGAATTTTCACTGGATTCTATAACTTAGGGGTGCATTCAGATGGCAGAGTGTATTCCGCAAAAATCCATGTCTGAACCATGAGGAATCCATCTGCAACAATTTTAGCAAAGTGGAAAAGGAACAAAACGGATCTTTATAGGTGGGAAGTTCGGCACCACATCACACTTCACGCTGAGTGGAAAGCCAAAAGAAACCAGCACTTTTTTTTGGAGGAGAAATATGAGGAGAAAAGGTCCAGCAGGTTCCATTTTCCTAATCAGCCCATGTGAACATTAGCAATGTTAGCATGTGCCTTGAACACTACAGTAAGCAAAAAGACACAACATTGTATTTCTACATTAAAGTAACCTACTCACCAAGTTAAAGTGGTGAGGAACACTCGTCATCTGGATCTCAAGGTCTTTCAGCAAATCAGTGGTAGCTGTCTATAGGATGGTTCACATGCCAGTGAATTAATATTTAGTATATTTTTTGTATTTGCAAAATGTTAGAAAAATGTCCTACTGTACAGCCCTGTGTTTACGCTCCATTTCAATTTGACCTGTTCTCTTTTTTGATTGGTTACTTCATGAAAAGAGACAGATGACAAGCAGAGCTTTTACACTGAAGAGCATTTACAACTTTCAACTCAATCTGCAAAGTTCCATAGCAAAAATCTGCGGCAAAACGATTGTTAAATTACTTAATAATAAATAATACTTAAAAGTATAAACAAAAGTACTTATACTTCCCAGCCCCTACCACTAAGTATAAGCTTTTATTACCTATACAGTATCAGAGCCCATTAGCAAGTCTAGTTGAGATTACTTAACAATTTGACAACTTCACGCAGTGTTTTAATTAGTTTAATTAATTTATAATTAGTACAATTAATATTATATGTTTCGCCTTCCCCTCCCAATACCCTGCCCACCACCTATCATTGAGAACAAACACTCAGCAATGCTCTTAAAAAATGATGGTTCTTGAAGAGTTTGTTAACAAAGAAAATGGTTCTATGGTTCAGATTGCTGTAGATGGTTCTATGTAGAACCTTTTTGAAAAAGGTTCTATAAAGCACCATAAAGTGGTGTTCTCTTGTTACGATGTCAAGCTTGTAATAATAGAAGAACATTTTTTGGTGCTATATAGAACCCTTTGCACAAAAGTGCCGTATGGAACCATCTACATCTACAGCACATTCTCCTTCAATCTGAAGAGCCCTTTCACAATGCGAAGCAACCTTTAATCATCTTTCTTAAGTGAGTAGCTCAGAGAACCTCCCTGATATTGTGTTTCAGTCACAATACAGAGGGAAACTGCACTGTATTTCCCCATATATCACTCACTCACCAGTTCATACAACCCATAAATGGTTACTAAGCTGCAAAAACAGCCCATTTTGAATTGTTTCTGTTGTCACAAAACCAACTCATTTACATTTTTTCACCTATTTAGCCTACAGCAGTTAAGCTCCACCCATCCATGTTAGACTTCTAATGTATTCCAGGTAGATTACTTTTTGAATGAGGGACAATACAGGGCAGCCAATCAGAGCAGATGCCATATATCTTTCTTAAAAGCAAAGAAACAACAGCCTATTTAATCTTAAGGGATCATTGTAATCATGTAAATTGAATAAAGTATGACTGTTTTTCAGTACATAAACCCACGAAAGCATAATGAGAAGACACTAGGAAAAATTAAAAAAAAAAGAAAAATGTAGGATATGATTCCTTTAAGATGATTTCAAGTGTCATCAAGCCAGGGTTATGACTCAATATGTGCCCACAACACAGCTCAGCGTTTAGATGCAGCTGTGCGCATGTCATTGTGGTGTGCTGGATTACACTGAATCAGTCAACAGAGAATAGCTGATGGGCTTCAGAGCCCCAGTGGAATGACGCCAAATGGGATGGATGTGTTTGGGGCTGAGGACCATCTGTTTTCAATCTGACCAAAAGCCAAGCGGATTCTGACAGATCAGAAATTTCAATTACCTCCAGAGCTTCCCCTGTTCGGACTGTCTACGCAATCTAAACACAAACAATAGAAATAAGAGGGACCTTTAGAAGTAAAAACAGAAGGATTAGCTGAGATATTGAACATAGAGTGGGATTGAGAAGGCACTGATTAGATGACTGCCTATTCTCTCAGATAGCACAGGAGGCAAGTTTAAAACAGGGGTGTTGGTTGAAAGGAGGGCGATGGTCTGGTTCCATCTTCCTTTCTGTTTATTCCAGCTAACTGAATTACAGAGTTGTAGAACAATGGTTTTGGAAAGGAAGGAGAGCAGAAAGTATACAGTCACTTTGTGGAAAACGATGAGCACATGTGATTTGGTGCTATAATGTTCCATCCTTTGACTGCAGTCCAGAACAGGATAGTAGTTTACTTCAAACATGTTCCACGTAAAATCAAAAAACTGTCATTCATTCCTCATAAAACCTCAGCAGGTAGTTTGACCAAGCCAGACACTACTACTGTCTGGCAGATGCATGAGTTGAAAAGTCATTCAGTTCAGGCCAGTTCAGCTCTGCTTCAGATTTTCACCTAAATATACTACGGCCAAGACATTACATAATCCACCACATGATTCGACGAGCGCCAGACGTTCACACACACCTTAAATAACCCTCTTAATGGGTTCGTGTTTGGTTTGAATCGCACTCAAAAGAAAGCAGAACAGCTCTATTCTTCTACAAACTGCCGATATAATCAAGCAGTGTAAAAAAACGCCAACTTGCGAACCAATAAATCCAAACCGCCTTCATTTAGTTTTATTCGTGTAAAGCCATTACAGTCATTTGGAATGATTTCCGGCCCAGGCTGCATATGTGCTGAGACGGTTGCTGAGAGCGGCTCGGCATAGATGGGTGTAGAGTTGTGGTTGAGAGGTAATAAAGGCTTGGACCAGCCAAAGTGCCCATGAGCTGCTGTATTTATAGCGCCAAATATCCATCAGCAGCTGCTGAACTGAATGCTGGGAACCCGACTTGAAAGAGAACGTGCAGAATAGCACGTTTGCTGAAGGAAAGAGAGAGAAGAAAAAGCTTTGAGAGGGAGAAAAAAAGTTTTACTTGGTGTCAGTTGAGCCTCCAAGTTAAGGTCCCGTGAGGCGAGTGAGTGAGATTTTAATGTATCATTATAACCTTCATAAAATCTTAAACACTTTCTAAGTATTTCTTTCAGAAAGAGGTGCTTTATAAATTCAGTACCATTCGTGCCTCTGATGCCAAATGACAAGTGGATGAACGAAGAAGCTCAAAACAGATTCTACATTCATGCATTTAAAAGCAGGATTCTTTGGATTGATGCCATAGAAGAACCATGTTTGTGTCCCTGAAGAACCTTTCAGTTGTTTTTGTTCTTTAAAGAACAATGCTTATAAATGAGATGTAAAGGTGTCAGAAACCATTTCCAAGTTTAAAAAAACCCACCATATATAAATGTTCTACACTCTTAAAAATATATATACAAAAAAAAAGTTTGAGTGTCTCTTACAAGAACCACCTTTGGTTTCCTAAAGGTTCTCTTATTTGGTGGTTCTTCAAAGAATTATTTCTGTGCATGAGGCATATTGAGTATGAGTATGAAGAACCTTTTTCAAGTTAGAAGAGCTTCCACATTATATAAAGGTTCTACACTCAAAATAAAAATGCAAAACAGGGTTCATTGGTAGGATGGCATAAAAGAACCATGTTTGGTTCCCTAAAGAACATTTCAGTTAGATAGCTCATCATTTATGCAAATGAAATGTGTGAATGTGAAGAACCTTTTTAAAGCTGAAAGAATCATATCATATAACCACATCATATAAAGTTTCTACACCCTTAAAAATGAAGGTGCAAAAAATGTTTCTTTAGAGCGTATCATAAAAGAACCATTTCTGGTTCCCTGAAAGTCCTTTCAGTTAATGGTCCTGTGAAAAATACCCTTCACATTGTAAAGGTTGTATATTCATAAAAATAAAGGAGCAAAACAGGTTCTTGGGAGTAGTCACAGAAGAACCACTTTGGTTTCCTCTTATGTGGTGGTTCTTTAAAGAATCATTTCTGTAAATGAGGCGTGAGAGTATGAAGAATACCTTTTTCAAGTTACAAGAACTTCCACATTATTTAAAGGTTCTACACTCTTAAAAATAAAGGTCCAAAACAGGGTTCTTTGGTGCGATGCCATAAAAAACCATGTTTGGTTCCCTAAAGAACATATCAGTTGGATAGCTCTTTAAAGAATCATTTATGTGATTTATCAACCTTTTTAAAGCTGGAAGAACCTCCACATCATATAAATGTTCTATACTCTTAAAAATAAAGATGCAAAAAATGGTTCTTGTGTATCATGAAAGAACCACTTCTGGTTCCCTGAAGGTCCTTTCAGTTCATGGTTCTTTAAAAAAATATTCGCGTTGTATTCTTAAAAATAAAGGCGCAGAACAGGGTTCTTGGTGTAGTCATGGAAGAACCACATTTGGTTCTATTTAGAAACTTTCAGTAGCTGGTTCCTTCCAGAATGTTTTTTGTAAATCAGGTATGAGTTTGAAGAACCTTCAAGTGTAAGAAACCAAATTATAATTTCCAAATTATATTTCCAAAACATTAAGGTTCTATGCTAATTAATAATAATGCTTATTAATCCTATCTAGCACACTTTTTAAGACTGCACATTGTCTTTAACACTGAATATGAATCTGAGGAACTAAAAGTCTGTCTCCGATGCTCTGCCCTGTAGGAATGTTCTCCTTATGCAGCTCACCTGTACGATGCTGAGGATGCCAATACCCCCATGCGGGAGCTCCCTGGCCTGTGTCGTGGCTACTGCAATGATTTCTGGCATCAATGCCGATATAGCCTCAGCCTGCTGACCAATGACAACATCACTTTCACCATTGAGGAGGACCGTGAAAAGTTCTGTGACTACCTGGAGCTGAAGGACCCAGAATACTGCTACCCAAATGTTCTAGCCAGTGATGAGCTGAATGCAAACCTGGGTAATGTTCAGGCCGACACCAAAGGCTGTGTCCAGCTTTGTCTACAGGAGATAGCTAACGGTCTACGCAACCCAGTAGCGATGATACATGCAGATGACGGCACACACCGGTTCTTTGTAGCTGAGCAGCTGGGATATGTGTGGGTGTATTTGCCAAATGGCTCGAGGGTGGACAGACCCTTCCTGAACCTCACCAAGGCCGTGCTGACCTCACCCTGGGCCGGGGATGAGCGAGGCTTTCTCTGCATTGCTCTTCACCCCAGGTTCAGCGTGGTGAAGAAGGCCTATGTCTATTACTCAGTGTCGGTCAAAAAACAGGAGAGAATCAGGATCAGCGAGTTCACTCTGTCTGAATCGGACATGAACATGCTGGACCATTCTTCTGAGAGGTGAGTGGGGTAGGAAACTGGTGATCTGTGAAAATAGGTAAAAAATCAAAGTTACACAGTGTTTCACAACACTTTGCTGAAGGGCAACTTATTTAAGGCTACATGACACTATATAAGCTTTGCATGGCATAAAACAATTAGTTTTGATAGCACAGTGTAATCAGTTGAGAAAATAATGCCACACAGTGACAGAAGATAGATACATTAGATAACAAAGTATAATATTTGACCTGCACCCTTTTGATCAGATTCTATAGAAGAATGCCATCGCAGGACTACATCAAATTTGTTGCCCCTGCAAGCTTTTCGGTCAGCAGCTGTAACGCTAAACAATTAACCAGAAACGAACAGAATTCAGTTCATGAATGCAGTTCATGAATGCAGTTCAAGATGTGCTCTGAAATGCTTTACAGACCAAATGAAACAAAACTAACACTCAAGTTAGTCTGGCAAGTATTTTAAGTATTGCAAAAGCTGAGCTGAACCTGATATTGGGACCATTGTACAGCTCCATCTGTAACTTAAAAGGGTACTTCTTCTTGTTGTGGATGGAAGTTTCCCATTTTAAAGCATATTTGATTCAATATTAGGCTTCTTTGCTTCTTTACTTTTTTCTTTGTTTTGCAGAATTATTGTATAAAAGCAATAGACGACTGGAGGTCATATCGCGAGTAACATCCCGGCTGATTTGAGACAAAGACGACTCCCTCTCGTATTCTGTTACTTAACCCCTTAAATGGCCAGGGCCTGCCAGATTAAGATTAGCTCAACTAATTTGCATTAAAGTCCCCATAGTTACTGAATAATAAGTCTTAGTATGTAAACAGCCTGAAATTTTAAAGGGCTAACTGGCATACACCTGCATAAACATTAATAAAGGCTTATTCCAACAAAAATCAGTTATTATAAAGGATGCTTTTGCCAACTTTCAGGTCATTTAAGCTTAATAGATTTAATGTGTGTTGGTGTAAGAATTTATTATAGTCTGTACTGAGTTGGGTTATATAAGCTGTCATAAAAGTAGGTGTATTATAGTTGCTGTCCTTCAGTAAAGTGTTACCCAATTCCTCCCAATCACCCTACTGTTTTCACACAGTGCCTCAATTAGTACTACACAACTAGTGCTTGCACTGTGCAAACATACCTAAATCATTCTGACACTGTACAATGTACTGCTATCTATAACAATGAGCAAAAGCAGAAAGATGTCTTTACATCAGCTGGCACTGCTGTTTTCAGCAATGTAACACACCTTTGTCCATTTTCATAGAGAGCAGTAGGTCAAACTGTGTTATAAACTACATAAACAAGTCTATTTGATATTAGACCTGCTTGAAAACCTGATGTGGTTTGAGGCCACTGTGTGAAGATTTAGCCATGCAGTTTGCGTGATGCTAATGGTTGGGGTATATGCTTCAGTTACTTGTTAGCTACATTAGCCTCATAGCTGTAGTGCAGAAATGAAGAAGCACACTTTAGATTCCAAACAGGTTTTGTCTGATTGACTATGTTTGGAGTAAGTTGTAAATATTAAAATTACAATTTTATGACAATCATTTGCTGCAATAGTACACAGTACTGTTTAGTCAGTATGTTTACAAAGAACTACACTTAGCGTCATTAGATTATCATCAGGAACAATGTCTTCTCCAGCAAGGTCTTTCGTGTTTTTGTTATGGCTTGCATGAGTTCTATCAAGGCCAAACTGCATCAAATAATATGGTGGCTGTTTTGTAAAACAGGACCCTTATGGAAGTTGTGGAACCAGCATCAAACCACAATGGAGGCCAGCTGCTGTTTGGTTTGGATGGCTACCTTTATATCTTCATAGGAGATGGAGGAAGAGCAGGAGACCCCTTTGGCCGGTTTGGGAATTCCCAAAACAAGTATGTAATCCCTTCATGAAATATTTCAAGCATGTGAAATAATCAGGGAAAACCACAGCTTTAGGTAATTAGCACAGAGCAGCAGGTAACCGCACTGCCTGAGGAATCACATTATATCCTTACAGCCATGAGTAAAGCAAAGAACCAGTGGCTTTATTTGGACTTTTCAGGCCAATAAACAGTGTTTGAATTCACTGTTTTCCCGTATCTTTCAGATCAATGCATGACTAATGCTCTTTAGTCAAATTAGGTCTGTCATAAAGCAGAGAGGATAGTGCTTAATGTCCTAGAAAATGATGCTGCTGGTTAATGATGACCTCAGTGAATAAGTGGAGTTGGAGTGTGAAGTGGATTCATATGTTTTAATAGCATCAGCCATTGCATCAGTACAGATTTATAGATAGGGGGCTTAGAAGTCTTAACTAGATGGGGGGTAATATATACATACATACATACACACATAAATATATAGCCCAAAATCGATGTTCACAATAGAGTTGTTTACAAAAGCAATATAATTAAAACTAGTTCATATTAGTATATAGCCTTTGCCCTTGTCTTTATCTCACGTAAACCTAAAGCTCCACTTACTATATATGATCCACTCGTACCAGCACAACACACTCTAACACACCACCCCCATGTCAGTGTTACTGCAGATGATCCACCACCCAAATAGTACCTGCTCTGTGAGGGTCCATGGGGGTCCTGACCACTGAAGAACAGGGTAAAAGGGGGCTAACAAAGTATGCAGAGAAACAGATGGACTACAGTCTGTAATTGTAGAACTACAAAGTGCTCTTATATAGCAAGTGGAGCTGATAAAATGGACAATGAGTGTAGAACCTATTGCTCAATGACATCTTTCAGTGTTTACTATATGCACCATTTCTTATTTTAAATATTCAAAGCCAGTCAAGAAAGTCCTAGCGTACTTTTGGAAGGCAAAAAATAGCCATGTGTTACCTAAGCTGGTGAGCTTCCATGGCGTTTGGAAAACATTTACCCCTAGGCACCAACGTGAATTCACTCTGCCTGAGACACAGCCTCAAAATATTAGCATTGGCTCTGGAACTCTGCATTCCCTTTCTGGCAGGAGCAGACCTAGCAGTGCCCAGTGAATCTACAGACGGCCATAGCACTACTTAGAAACTCACAACAGAGCAGCTCACAGTTTTTAGAAACAGCCCTGCCATACCCACACAGTGTAGAGGATGGCTTTAGAACATTGGTGCCAAAACAGAGCAGCTAATGGCCAGCACTTTGGATAAAGTCCACCTGTGTAATATGGAGACTACATGTTAAATGTCTCATTGTGGCGCACAGCGACTACTTCAAGGATACAACACAAAGCATTGAAGTCACAATGTCTTCCTATGGATGACATACAGCTACAGGCTCTCAGATTCTTTCTTTCAGTGGGTGATGTGCAAAAAATTGACACTCCTGATTGTTTAGAATTGTTCTCTGACACTTGTGAAGTTAAAGAGCAGAATGTTAGCTTTTTAAAGATGTTCATGTGTCTACGGAGTGAATCATTTAGGAATTGCAGGCCATTTTTATACATTGTCCATCCGTTCGAAGGGACCTGTAATAGTCATTAGACAAATTTACAGGACCATCTTCTAAATTTTCTTGAAAAGTCCACTTTTAATACTTGCGTGGTGTTATGCACCAATAACAATCTGATTCCTAACCTCTTTTTATCGCTTGTTAGCTTTTGTACCTTTAAAAAAAATATATATATATACTAATAACCTCTGTCGTCTTAATTGGCTGACCTGTATTGTACTGCCTCCAAAAAGCAGTCCAGGTTGAAATGATGAAGCACTTCTATAAAATAAGGCAAGACAAACTTCTGTAGGTTGAATGGGTGGTCATTTGTAAATTTGTTCATGGTTCATAGTCTCATATATACTGGTGAGTAAAATGTACATTACAACTCTTTATTTTTAAAAAAAGCAAGGAAATTTAGTTTTCTATTATATGACTGCTTGAAAAAGGATGTTGGTTGCAAAAGCTTTACAGATAATTCCCTGCAGTCACAACCAGATGCTGGGTATCTTCCCTGGTGAAGATCCACCAGACCTGCAATGCAGCTATTTTCAGTTGCTGTATGTTTCAGGGGCTTTTTGTCTCCAGGCTTGTTTTCAGTCAAGTAAAAAGCTGCTTGTTGGGGTTTAGGCCATGACCACAGAAAAAATCGTAGTGGTTTTAGTGTTTCAGGTCATTGTCTTGCTGCAAGGTGAAGCACCATCCAGTGATTGTTTAGGCATTCAAATTCAAATTGAGCTTCTGTTATCCAGCAGCAACCAGGCAATAGCAATGGTGAGTAAAACTAAAAGTACAGGTCATAAGAATATAGCTTTAGTTTTATATAGCTAGCTAGTCAATTATGAACGGCTAGAGGACAAGGCATAGGGTCTAATTATCAGCAACAACTGTTTGTAAAATATCAAGGTGATACTTGTTTACAGTTTTCAATCTCTGTTCAAACTCTGTCTCTGTCTGGTTTATTTGGAGTTTTCAACCTTTTGATGGTCTGCTTTACTGCTATTGGCACTTTTTTGGTTGAGAGACCACCAAAACAGAATCTGCATGCAAGTGCCACTTCAGGAATAGGCTGTATCCATCTGGCAATCTTGATGAGTGCCCCATCACCTCCTACTTTGAGCTGGGCTTTCACGAGGTGTTGGATTGATCTAGAAACTTCACACTCAGTTTGTTCCCACCCTAATAAGTCTATGTTCCCACCCACATTTGGTCGTCCTCAAATGTTCTTGTTACGAGATCAAGTCTGGCCCAGCGAGACAACCCTTGGTGCAATCTGTTTGGAATTATTCTTTGGTCTTTCTCCACACAAAGACTCTACTATCAGTTTGATGCTGAGTTAAAGTTGTTTTTCTCAGAAACAATTATCATTTTATTACAAAGTTTTATTAAGTACGCAAAAGAACCAAAGATTACCAATGTTTAAAGTGTCTTTTTGGGCCTTCTGTATGCTAACTTGTCATATTGTTCTTGAATAGTTTCTCAAACCTGGTAGAAATCTAATACTTCACTTCACTTTTTCACTTCGTGCTAACAGCATGACCATAGTTAATGGTCACAGAATCACTTTTGATATATATTGAAGTATAAAGAATTCAGTTCCTGAATGATTGAGAAGAAGAAATGACTTCACAAGGGCTGATGCAGGATAAGAGTTTGAGAGGCCTCTTTAGAGCGAGCACTCATTCATACCACAGTTAATATTGACACAGGGCATTGTGGGCTGTAAGCAAGCATGTGTGAGGAGAGAGAGGGAGAAAGAGAGAGAGATTTAAGTAGAGATTCAATGAAAACCTTTGCACTAACATTTATTCATTAAGGCCTCCTTTGGAACACATGTGACTTATGTACCCTGTTTATGTTCTGTAGGTCAGCTCTACTGGGCAAAGTCCTACGAATCGATGTGGACAACAATGACGACAGCGTCCCCTACACTATCCCGTCAGACAACCCTTTCGTCGGAGACAAAGACGCAAGGCCAGAGGTCTATGCCTATGGAGTCAGAAACATGTGGCGGTGCTCCATTGACAGAGGAGACCCAATCACGGGCAAGGGGCGGGGTCGCATGTTCTGCGGCGATGTTGGCCAGAATAAGTTTGAGGAGGTGGATCTCATTGAAAAAGGCGGCAACTACGGATGGAGGGCAAAAGAGGGGTTCTCCTGCTATGATAACAAACTCTGTCTAAACTCTTCACTTGGTAAGGCAGCTCTTCCAACTGTGCTTTTACAGGAAATGCTAATCATATGTTTGGTGTTTTGGGGTTTGCTGTGTGAGTTATCCAGCTCTGCTCCAGAGCTTTGTTGCATCAGGCTCAGAAACTGTTGCTGGATAGAGATGAGTAGAGTAGCCTAAGTCCATAATCAAATAAAAATCTGGTTACTTTGGTGAAATAATTGCTCAAATGGAATTAAAAGTATCTTTCCAAAAATGGAATTGAGTAGAAATATAAAAGTATCATAAAAGGTCATAAAACAATTTTAAAAACTAGAGTTTTTGCTGCTCTTTGTAGTGTTATACAGTATATCACAGCATTGTTTCCCTCAGCCTCATCTTTTTGACAGAATTCACAAATGTTTTTATGCGTTTGCCCATCAGTAGTTCTCTCACTACAATACCCAGCAGGCATTGCACAAATACATCACACAACCAATGGGAATCCCTACGATGTCAACCAATCCTGGCCTAGCCACTGATCTATAGACTAATAAACACACCCAAGCTACCATTAGTGTGACTCTTATCTCAGTCGACGAACAAATTTATAAAGAAAACTGCAATTCTGTCTTTATTCAACACAAAATAGACACCAGATACTTTGAGATGTTTATTCATTCAGCTGGAGAAAAGAAGCCAAACTGAAGTATCTAGAAAATCAGAGAGTTACCTTGTTAACTGTAACTGTTGCCATTGAGTCATTTCTGTTGTTTGAGTAATCTATTATCTCCATTGTATACTCTGAAGACAGTTATACAACTGCTACAATAAAACAATAAGCTATTTGACTTCCTGAAAACAACCTTAGCTATCTGGCTTCCTTCTGGATTCACCAGCTAATAGAAAACCAACAAAAAATAAACATTTCAAACAGCTGCCCCCAGATATCAAATGCAAAGCAGCTGTTGGTTTTCAAAATTTCCTTATGTACCTTCAAGATACATGATCAGAAGGTGGAGTTCCTAGTCTTTAATCTTAGACTACTGAGGCACTACTGTAAGTTTCCCTTTAAGTACTAATTAACTTCTGGAGCTGCAGCATAACGTCTTAGCATTTATCATCATTTGTCTCTCTTTGCACTTTTGGTTAAAGTAAGTCAGAAGTGTGACCAATCATTCAGAAGCACAGGTGCGGTCACCAGCTTGGCAGAATGAATTTGAACACATAAAAAATAAATTATTCTCCTTATATTCTGCAGCTATTCTTCAACCGAAATACTCAAAATACTATACTCACATATACATGAACACAAGTACATATTATTGTCCTTAAATAGAGAAGTATAAATCCATTAAACTGCCAACAGTTACTACCCACCTGATCCTTACCTATTTCAAAAAGGCTGAAGTGTCTTGATCGCCACTGAGATGTCTTTGTCTTGTTTTCTTAGATGATATCCTGCCCATTTTCGCTTATCCACATAAACTGGGGAAATCAGTAACAGGTGGCTACATCTACAGGGGCTGTGAGATGCCAAATCTTAATGGTCTCTACATCTTTGGGGATTTTATGAGCGGGTGAAGTCTTTCTTCTTTCTTTTCACAATAATAAACTACTAGACTTGTTTTTGAACTACAGTATAAATTGTGCACCGGGCATCATCAAATCCAGTCCTGGAGACTCAGGCACAACAAACAGAACTAATAAATTGCTTGAAAACTGAAACAAACTAATTAAATCTTTGGTCTAGAACATAGTTCTACAGTCTAAATCAGGAGTGTCAAACTGGGTTTCTTCTGGGCCACAGCTCTGCGTTGGTTAGCGTTTTCCCTCTTTGAACACTCCACACTCAACCACCACGTGAAAACCCTTCAAAGTTGGATGGTGAAGTCGGATACATCGAAATTTTTAATAGAGTACAAGTTGTCTGAGTTATAATGTCAATGTCCATGTTTATCATGCTGGAGGAGAGAAAAGAACAGTCCCTCAACATAAAGTTAACAGATAACAGAGTAAATGTAATTTGATGAAGAATATGGTTAACCTACATTTTATCTCTGCATTTGTGTACAAAAGCATCAGAAAATAGGCCAAAATCGATCACGGTCAGCAAGCTAATAAACTACAACAACAATTTGACCTCCACTATGTTATGTTTGCCTCCCACATAAACCACATGGATGAACAAGTTACTATTTTGAAATACTTCCTGCCTAACTTGCACTTGCAGCATGTTCATACTATAACACTGCTCTCTTTGAACCACAGGCGCCTCATGTCTCTAAAGGAGAACCCAGACACTGGAAAGTGGGACTACACAGAGATATGCATGGGGAAAGACAAGACCTGCCGCTTTCCCAAACTGATCAACAGCTACTACAAGTATATTATATCCTTTGGTGAAGATGAGGCAGGTAACCTTGAGAAGTAGCTGTGCGCTGGTTGCATGTGTGTGTGTGTGTGTGTGTGTGTGTGTGCACTCATGTGTGTACACAGGAACCAGCAAAAGCTGGGGCTCCCATGTTAGATCACTGAAAGATATAGAAGGAACAGACTTTGGCAGAATCACTACTGAACCTTTTTTTAGAGTAATATTTCTCCCATATTTCTTCATTCCAAGTTAACCAGTGTAGGTTGGTTTGGGACTAGGCCTCTCTTAGTCAAGTAACCTAGTAAAAATAACCATGGTAAATGGTTCAACTTTTACCCTTTTCGAAGGGGTGGGGGCATGAAATGAATTAATCTGTTAAAAAAGAATGTGATTGTGAATGTGACATAAACTTTACTGTTTGAGGCTTTTTTGTCTGAGGTTATTTGACCCGATGTTCAGTTGTACAGGGAGCTAATTCTACCAATTTTCAAAAAGATCTGATTAATTTTGCCAATGAGAACAACGCAGCAAGTCAGCAGTCTGGGAACATCTTCATAACTCTTCGTCATGCTCTTTTTTATCTCATTCTGTTTTAGGTGAGCTGTACTTTCTAGCTACAGGAGTGCCGAGCGCAGCTGCCAGAGCAGGAGTGGTGTATAAGATAGTGGATCCATCCAGGTACCTATACATTGCTGATCAATGATTAATGAAATATACCATAAATGCTGAATCTGAAACACAGCACAGATCTGATGTGCACGATTTTTTGTTCCAGTCTTCTCAAGAAGATCAAATTTGGTTGGATTTCAAACATGAGCTGCTTTTAAAACTGTTAATGCTCATGGGGTTCCAACGTCACTAATGCTCAGTGGGGCAGACTAGTTTTAACCAGCGAGCAGTTTAATATTGTATGATAATGCAGTAGAAGTGCCCTCAGCCTCTTTTTCATTATGGTGATGCAATTACAAGCTAACTTTAGTAGCTATTGAACAAATGGCTCTTCTGATGCTCGTTTTTGTGTCCTTTAGGAGAGCGCCTCCAGGCAAATGCAGCAACAAACCCGCTCCAGTTCAAATAAAGGGCAAACTGATTCACTTCTACCCTAAGGAGGGTAAGAGATACTGTAAACAAACACAAACAATATCCTCTTCTCACAGCCAACTGTGCTGTCACATCAATGATATGGAGTAGAGCTTTAATTGGGGAGGAAGTTTTGGTCTGAGCCTAAATACAGCCTCCGAATTTTCTGTCTGAGACTGACCTGACCCAAACCACATCATCCAAACCCAAACCAAGTATGACAAAATTCTGTCCAAAGTTCTGTCCATGCCAAATTGCTGAATAAAACCTGGCAGGACAGTGTCGGTGTAGTGACAATAGCACTCATTCGATCACAGATAAATACAATTCAAAATAATGTACTATAATGATATAATCAGCTGTTCAAAACTAACCTTAAATCCTGCTTTAAGAAATTTATGCATTAAGAAATCAGGTCAACAATGTCATAAAATATTTCTTTAGTCTGGATAAACTTTCCATACTGCTCCGTTCTCATGCTGTGTGGTGCTGATATAGTGAGATTTAATACTAAAACTCTATTTTTGCAAATAGAACATGTTATTAGAGTTGGGAGGGTTACTTAAAATTGTATCCCATTACAGATTACTGATTACATGTTAAAAAATGCAATATGTGACCTTATGATTTTATAATAATGTAATCTGATTACTTTTGGATTACTTGTCTTTTTACAATCATATAAATTAAATTAGGACAAATTCAAACAAATTCCAACCAGGCAGGCAAACAGCCAAACTTGACTTTTTTATGACACAAAATTATACATTATAGATGACATATTATTGCCAAAGCTGGGCCGGAGGTGTAGCTAGGAAGCATTATGTCCCAGCAACAATGCCATAACAAGGTTTACAACCAGCCAGCTAGCCTTCTTCATTGTGGCGAGAGAAAAAAAAGACATTTTTAACTGCTGACCTCACCTTTAACACACCTAGCACCCCACAGTGGGTAAAGGCTAATTAACCAAAGTCCACTAGCCATAAATTTGTGATTAAAAGTTTTCATTTAAGAGACATTAGACAAATACATGAACATTATTACCTCACTGGGTAGCCCTATATTATTAAATAATGCTGCAATAATAATAATAATAATAATAATAATAATAAAAGAATAAAAGAAAACAAAGAAGAAGACACAATTTTTCAAACTTTCTTTTTCTCTATGCATAAAGGAAAAGTCAGAAAACCACAAATGAATGCGTATGACCTCAACCCCTCAGACAGCACTGTATCAAAAACCAGCATGCTTCTGTGATGGATCTCACTGTATAGGCTCGGGAACACACTGAAAAACTATTATCAGTAAACACTGTCCATCGCTGCATTCACAAATGCAAGTTAAGAATGCACAGTGGACATCAGGTGTCACCAACATCCAGAAACACTGATGACTTCTTTGGGCTCTAGCCCATCTGAAATGGGCTGCTGCAAATGTGTATTGTGAAATGTGCCATTACATGTATTCCCAACCGTGCATGTTACATAGAACATATTGAATATTTAAAACTATTTATGGCCAAAAAGAAACTTTTTGACTGGACTATACTATACTTTCCTGAATGTTTTCACTGTTCATTTCCACATGTCCGTTTTCACACAAGTGTGGGCTTTGTGTGGATGACTTGAGCATGTCAAATGAACAAATGTGTTAAAAGTGAAAACGTGGAGTAAGAATAACATAGGGAGTAAAACTAAAACAGGGAAAATTTGTTAAAAATGGAATTGGTGGGCTGTAAAAAGCTGAATTTGAAATCTGAACCCTGGCCCAACATATTTGGAAAATGATATCTGAACTTGACCAAACAGGTCCACACAGGTTCAGTCAAATATTTCAAGCTCTAGTATGGAGGATGCTATGTAATCTGTATGTCTTCATTTCACAGAGTTTGTGATCAACAAGAAACCTACAACAACTGCTGCCCCTAAGATCAAAGCAACTACTAAACCCAGGTTAACCACAACTCAAGCGAAGCCAAGACCCACAAGAAAGCTTCCCACTGCACCTCCAGTGAAACCTACACAAGCACCAAAACCCAACCCACTAACTCCAAAGCCCAGGAAACCTATTCCAAAGCCTCAGATTCCAACACCAAAACCAACCTTCAGACCAGTAACTACAAACCCTGCTACCCTCAGGAAACAGCAGACATTAGCTGTTACTGTGCGTCCACTTCTGGGCCAGATCACAACCGTAAGACCAGGATATCTCACCACATTGCGGGGAAAATCATCCCAGACTCCTGCAATGTCTCACACGACCAGACCCCCAACCACACCTCGCAGAGCCACTACACCAAACATGGTCCGTCCATCCACCAAAATGCCCCACATCCCCAGCAATAACCATCCAGATTTGGCTCCCTCAGTGACCACCCCCAGGCCTGTATACAGGACCCCAGCTTTTAAGCCTACCTCGAAGACACACCAACCTAACTTCACCCTCCCTAAATCTGAGCAGAAGCCTCAGGAAGCCACAGAAGGCAAGTCTGACCATCCGGATGACAACCCTCATAAAAGGGGGCGGGGCAAAGGCAGGAAAAGAGGAAAAGGGGGCCGGAGAAGGTCCCGTACCGGGCAGGTTAGGTTAGTCAGTGCTGATAATCGATCAGATCGTGGACGGGTGGAAATCTTTATAAAAGGAGAATGGGGTACAGTTTGTGATGACCTGTTCAACCTTAAAGCAGCGGCGGTGGTGTGCCGGCAACTAGGCTTCCCCACAGCCATACGGGTGGCCAAGCGGGCAGAACTGGGCCCGGGGTCCAACAATGTCAGCATTTTTCTGGACGACGTGGAGTGTGAGGGGACGGAGAGGACACTGCTGCACTGCAAACGTGGTAAACTAGGTAAACACAATTGCTCGCATGAAGAGGACGTGGGGGTTGTGTGTGGCTACGAGGAGCGCACAGATGAGTGACCATTCTGCCAGAGTTGCTCATGACTGGAAAACGGACAGTAACAGAATCAGAAAAGCACCAATCAATGCTCTTTCTGGCTCTTGCTTTGTAAATCATGAGGAAATAATTCAGCACCGTCAATCTCAGCCTTATTTCGCCAGTGACGGGAGCAGATAGCTGCAGTTTTTAAGTAGTTTAAATGTATTAAAAAGAGACAGATAGTAACCTTCATAAAGAATGATAATCCTGTAGACCTCTTAAACTGTGTGTCATTCTGTAGTCTGTGTCATGTCCATATTAGGAGCTCTGTGTCCAAGCTCTATGACAAACATGAATGATATTTCCAAGGCCTGTGGTAAACAAAATTTCCAAACCCAAAACATTTTGTCCTAAGTAAATTTTTCTGCTGAACGTCACTGAATCCTCTGAATTATGAGGTTGTTAAAGATAAATATGAACAAGGCCACATCCATGCTAATAGCAGGCTACCACTCCTGCACATTGAAATGATGTTGCATGAAAGTGAGTCTACTAATAAACTTGAACACTATTATCTACCAACACCAGCTACTTCAAATGTACTATACTACTGCCAAAGCAATGGAACGATCATACTGGACAAAGCTTGCCGGTTTGTTTCAGGGATTTGATGAGGTTGTGCAGCAGTGTTAGCTTGCATGAGCAAAATTCAGATTTAGACTCCTTAAAGGGGAACTCACCAATTTTTTAAAATATCTGCGTAATCGTTAAGATGTAAACAAAGTCATTCAAAGTAGTTTGGTACAAAATGTTTAATTCTGGAGAAACTTAGTAGGTCAGAATTGTTTACAGTGATAGTGGTAGGAACCAGACGTCTGAAGAGTTTAAGCCCTCTAAAAGCTAAATCACAAAAAGTTATTAAATTAAATGGTTATAAATACTCAGCTTGGTGTCTGAGACATTTTTACAGTAGTTTTGAGATAGATTTTGGCCTGAAACATATTTTTAATTAATTTATTCTAATCTGTTCATGGTAGAGGGATACATTAAGGGTGTTCTAAATAAATCAGAGTCAGTAAGTTTCTCCACAAATGAACCATTTCACATCTAACCACTCTGAATGATATTGTTTACATTTCAACCTCTGAATTATGCAGACATTTCGAAAAATGTATTAACGACCTCGTAAATCAAAGGATCCTGTGATGTTCGAAGGAAATATTTACAAAGGACAAAGAGTATCAGGTTTGGAACCATTTTGTTTACCACAGGGTGCGACTGCATCGATTTCTGAAAACCCCATTCATTTCTTTCATAGTGAAAACCCCCTTATGCTGCATTTATGACCAAATAGTACCTGGGAAGTTTCCAACTTTTAGGTGGAAAATCCATTTGAACATGCCTCAAACTCATAATTCCCACTCAGAAAGTCTGAGTTTCTCAAGAGCTCTGACTTATGTCAGTTGTTGATCCGTGTTGTCATTTCAGCATGGCAGCAACTATAGAACAAGAAGTAACAAGGTGTTTTAAGCTTTGTAAACAGACTTTTGAGTGTATGATATGCTATTTGTGCAAAATGTCGATGGACAGTTGTAAGGCAAAGCCCTTATGTACAAGATTTTTGATCAAACTGCGTACTTTTGTGGCATTTTTGACACCATATTAATGGCAAATTGTTATAGCCTACATCCATGTTTAAAACAAGTAAAGCACTAACCTCACAGCTCTTAATTCAAATATAAATGCTTTTAAGAGATTCTACACACACAGTAGACACAGAGCTGAAGTTGCATGAATGCTTTTAGGTGGGAAGTTTAAAAATGAATATTAGAGTTTCTGATATGGGCATGAAGCAGTTTACAGAATGATGACATGACTTGAGTGGTCTGTTGCAGATGTGGGTAGTTCAGGTTCAGAAAGTAAAACTCAGCAGGATTTTGTTCCAATGGTCTTCTCCAGTTAGCGCAAACCATGGAATGGGTGTCCAGGCAATTAGAACAAAACGCTGGGGTGGAATTTTTGCTTTCTGGACCTAAATTACCCACCTCTGTCCAGTTGTAATGCTATTGCTAGATCACAGTTTTAGAGAGAGATGTTGATCATCTCCGACTCAGACAGTGCTCAGGTCTTGTGCTTGGGCTTTTCTGAATCTCAAGCAAGACAGATTCTCCAGAAAAGAAAATTTTATACTGAAATTTTTCACTTTTAGAAAACGGTAGATAACGGGTAACCTATCCATTGCTTTGTAGATACCTCAGATAAAGGTACATTCCTTGCACACTCCCATACACTCAATATACAATATTAGCCTATTTACATACAGAAACCCCAGTTTCTCATATATATTATCTTATATGCTTTTCAAGCCCTTCCGAATGGGTTGAAAAATTGCTTGTAATGAAATTCTCTGCATGATTTTTTCCTTTAATTTCCATAATTGAATATTTGCCTTTTGAGCTTCAGAAATACCTTGTATGAACATAGAAATTACAAATGGCAAAGAATATCACTTGTATTACATATGATTTTCAACCTTTTTGATATTTCAATAACAACTAAGGTCCAGGCAGGTCCATAAAGAGAAAGAAAGAAGGATGATTCTCAAATGGCTCCCTACTCCCTGTATAGTGCACTATGATTCTCTGCTCCCCATGTTGTGTTATTGAGCCCTATATTTTAGCTTCGTTACTTAAATAATGTCCAGGAGGCTGTTGTGTACTCTTTGTTAGACAGATCAGGCACTGTTAGGGTGCAGGAGCCTTTATTTTAGGACCTTTGTAGTGCACTGTGTAGGGGTTAGGGAGCCGTTTGAGATTGAGCCATTGGAACTCGAAGCTGTATGCCAGGAGCGCTATTTCAGTGTCTATGAGGATTTTGTACAAGGCTGCCATCTTCTGGTCTGGAATATACTACACACAAGCACTGTAGAGTAGAGCTGCATCCATGAGAACTGGGTTTCACGCTGTTTTTGGTTGTTCTTTTCCATTTTACAGAACTTATAACTCTTTATATGCAGATTGTGTGACTGATCAAACACTGTAGCCATGCTTATAGGTACTTTTCGTCTGTTTGTAATGTTATCAATCAGTCAGAGGTTGGTCAACGATTAACATGTTGAGGGACTTTGACAGCCCTACCCACAAGCAAGGTCAGTACGCATTGCCACTTGAATAATCAAATGTTTATTATTATTATTATTATTATTATTATTATGTTATTATTATTATTATTGGATGTTTATAATTATAATAACCAACTTATGGTGGGTTTTATATGGAATGAAAATAATGATATTGCTAAAAATGCTGGCCATTCTTTGTTATATTGTAAAAAATAAAGCACAAATAAAGAGAATAGACCTTGACTGTGTAGACATTTTAATTTTATAATGTTTATTTATGATATCAATGATTTCCAACTCTGTTTCTGGAGTATCTGCACATTTTAGTGTCTTTTCCTTCTCTGTCACATAAGACTCAACACTGGCTGGGCGTGTTAGTACGGGAGAAAATGTTAAAGTGTACTTTACAGGCATGAACGTGGGTAGTGGACACTCTCGGCACCCCCAGATTTCAGCGTTGGTTAACTGCAACTGTTAAAAATAATGTGGCATTGGCATAGAAGAAAATGTGGTAAACATTGCCCATACAGGCAAATGCTCTTTTATTGAACAGGCACTTCATAGGTCAGCAAGAAATGCCCAGTCCAGTGCTCCTGAATAACAGCAAGAAGAGCAGGGAAGGACACCGGAAGCCATAAGGCCTCACTCCATAGTTGACACTAAACCCACACTAACTGACCCACAGCCCAACACAATAAAACACATAGACACATCAACACCTAACAACATTAGCTACAGCTTTACATAACACGCCCCTAAAGCCTCTTCTGAAACGTAAGGGCGTGGCAGACATCATAATCAAGGTGCAAAAAACACAGGGAGTCCTAGGGGATCCAGGACCCCCTAATTAACCTCTTGGACCCCCTGAATCAAAATTCTGCAGGTTCCCTGAACATTTTGATGCTATGTTTTCTGTGGGTGAAAAAGGTGCAAATTCAGGAAAATGTTGTTTATCCTGCTTAGTGAGCTTCTGTCTTTGATATTTGTAACTAACTAGTGATGCAACATTGATCTACCTCAGGGTGGCGCTGTTGCAAATTGGTTGATCCAGTTGGTCCTTCATAGCCTAGCCAGGGCCGGTGTATATAGTCTGGCCTCTTCCTATTTCCCCCTTTACATCAAAAACAAGACTGCAAATCGCCACAGGGCACCCGCGAGTCCTCAGTGTATGGGGGTGAATGGAGCTAAACAGCTAAAAGCAAAAGGTTAAAATAATTTCTAATTACTTGCCCAGAACTTTCCTTTAATTTTAGAAAACAGAAGGATGTATTTCCCTAAAAAAAAGCAAAGAAAACTTACCTGTATGTCCTTTTTACTACAGCAAATGGGTTTTGGGCAGCAGGATGCTAACATTACTGCTACTGAGTGCTGATTGGTTGGCGAGCGGAGCAGCTCATTGGCTGATTGCGCTCACTGATGTCATGAACGTACATGAAGCGCTGTTTTAAACTCCTATAACTCGAGTTTAAAAGCTCTTAAAAACATAACAGCAGCGTTAAAATGTTTTATGCTGTTCTGTGTTCAGGAAATAAACATATTCTTTTACATTAAAGATGTTTCAGAATTTATAAACTATAATCTTACTCAAATGCTCCATCTTAACCCATTCATTTTGGACTTGCTCAGGAGCGCCCTCTAGCGTTTGAGAAACTCAGAAGACATCACAGGGCGGTAATTCTCCTCTCTATAAGTTCTCTGGGGATTCCTCTGAAAAACTTTACAATGTGCTGTAAAATGTTTCGCAAATCCAAAAACTCACAAAACCTCACAAGAGATTGGTTGAAAGAGTTAATTGTTACTAAAACTGAAAACAAAAGAGGAGATTTTTGAGATCTCAGTTAATGTGTGGAAGACCACATTTCCAAAATTCCATTGAAGCTGTAGCATCAGCACTGCTACAGCAAGCAAGTAGCCAGCCAACATGGGACCCCCCCCAAATACCAGGGGGTATTTCACACACTGGTCACAATAATAATAATAATAATAATAATAATAATAATAATAATAATAAAGATCTGAACTCGAAACTGATTTGAACGTAGTAAAGACATTTATCTGCTTGTATTAGAGTGGAGTTCATATTTTAATGTTTTATTTTTAGAAAATCCCGCAGTAGCTGCACTGTTTACGTTAGCAGTGTATTTTCATTACAGTGAGCATTCATTACATTTTCACTTTTCATTTTAGCCGTTGAGCTCTATTTACATTCATTGAGGACTCGCTTGCGGGCGCCCTCTGGCGTTTTGCAGCTATGTTTTTGATAAAAGGGGGGAATGTGGCCAGGCTCCTCATAAACCGGCTCTGACCGCGCCACACATCAACAATCTGATTGGACGCCGAGCAAATAATTTGCATCAAGTTAGTCCAGAAGGAGAGCAGAGAAATCAGGGTGTGCATCAGCAGTTAAATGTGTCAGTTGTTTGTGTATATTATCGTTTCTCGCCACATATTGGTTCGTTTTGACACGCTATGTTTGATGTAAATTATCAAACAAGGCATGATGTAACCGTTTACGCATATACTGTTTAAAAGTTCTGATCCCCGCCCCCCCCCCGCCCCCCCACCCCACTATCCATCATTACAGGACTAATTTATGAGCCAGAATGGGAAATACTGGTCTAATACTATAAATAATTAATATATTTATGAATCATAAAAGGTTAATGGAAAACAGTGCAGTGGATGGGAAAGAACTGGGGAACCGCGGTCTAACAGGATAGATAGATAGATAGATAGATAGATAGATAGATAGATAGATAGATAGATAAATATTTAAAAAAAACCTTCCCAAGCCCCAGTTGAGGTTAAAAGGGGAAAGACTGTCATAAGAGAGGCGCAGGATGTACGCCCTTCTGCACCGTTAACGGAGCGTCCAGTGTCGTTTCCTGATTGGTTCGCATGGATTCCGTACCCGCCTCCTTTGCCATTGTGCGCGCTGTGATTGGTTACGTTACCGGCCTACGTGTGCGTAAGCGGGATTCACTCGGAGTAGAGCAGGAATCGGAGCCGGTAGCTGCGCGAGTTCATATCCTCACTACGACAGCCTGAATTACAGCGGGTTTTCTTTGGTTTCCTGGATACTTTCAGGGAAAGTGTGCTGTACATTTTGTGAGGATGGATTACTCAAATCAGAGTGGGTTCAGACAGCGTAAGTTACGTACGTCATTCTTTTATTCGTGTTGTGAATTTCCGTGGACACTTTCAGTTTTGCCTTTCATGAATTGCTAGCATGTTGCTAACGGGCTAGCGGAGCACAGCAGGCGCACACGGAGCAGAGTGGACTCTAACCAGCCTCACAGCATGACTGGAGTAATGTGAAATAGACCCATAGAGCTTATATGTATCGTACTGACCTGTAAACGCTGTAAACTGTAGCTACTATAACTGTATTTTGGTCCTGCAGCTCTTGTTCCTATGCCGATAAACTCGCTCAGGCTGAATCTCAAATGGCCCCCTTCTCCCTACTCCCTACATAGTGCACAGTGTGAGCTATAAAGTGTTGCCTTCCACACCAAATAGTGTAACGTTACTGCATTTCCAGTAGGAAATTGTGTACAGATAGCTAAATGTCAAATGCCTCTCTGTAAGACATCAGTTAGCTAGCTTATCATACACTGTATGTGAACAGGACCCATTATTGTAAGACCTACGTAGTGCACTGTGTAGGGAGTACACACTTTACAGGTTTTTAGTAAAGGCAGTGGTTGTGTGTAAAGCCATTTCACGCTTAAATAGTTATTGTATGGTGAATTGGTTCTTCAGATTGATGGAGAATGTGTTGTATGTGGTTCTGTATTTGAAAACGGTTCTATATAGCACCATAAAGTGTTCCTCTACTGATAAAGCTTCACATTTTGGTGCTATATATAACCCTTTTCAGAAAGGTTCTGTCTAGAACTGTTTACATCACATTCTCCATCATTCTGAAGAATCTTTTCACCATGCAAATAACCATTAAAGCATTCACTGATTCTATGTAGAACTCATGATTTTAAATATAACAATTGCCTTTACTGAAGATCTCTGGAAGAACCATCTTTCTTCAGTGTGTAGGGAGCCATTTGAGATTCAGCCCCAGTTAGACGGCGTATTTTAGCTAACATTGTTATACAGGTTATTTGTGGAACCAGCCGGCTATCTGACTAACTACCTCTGTACGTACACTATGTGTCCAGAGTATCCAGACACATCATCTATTTAGTGAATTCAGCTTTGATAAGGTGGACTCATTGATGCCACAGTGACTCACAGCTTGTGTAATCTCCAAAGAAATCATAGAAAAGCAGCTGCACATGAGCCTAAGTCACCATGCCCAATGCTGAGGGTGGGATAGAGGGGTATGAGGTCCCTAGCACTGGGATGTGAGGCAGTGGAAAGTGATGGAGCTCCATCCACTACCTTTGCAGTGAGCTGTGATTCAGAACTCCATCCATGATCCATCACCTAACATCAGTACCTGACATCTCTTAATGCCTTATGAATGCAATCAAAATCTCTAGTGTAAAGACTTTGCAGTAGAGTAGAAGCTGTTACTGCAGCAAAGGGGCAAGACTCCCTTTAATACCCTTGATTTCAGAATGATGATGTTTACAAGCTTTAGGACATATACCTATCTAAAGTGCCTCTTATTCAGTTTGCATTTGAATTGTTTAACAAAACTTCTGTTCCTATCGGGTTTCCTTGATTTCGTCTCATCTGGTAGTCATGTGGATCTACATGCTAGTCAGTTCTGCCAGTATATTAGTGAGGCTGGTCTGGTAAAATCAAGGAAAGCAGCTGGAAAAGAAAATTTATTCAACTATTTGTATGCAGCTTCTGTAATGTTACTTTGGACTCCAGAAATTATTAACTGTAACTGATTTTGACCTGTTCACTTCTATCACAGAACCGAAGGTCAGGATGAGGGGCGCCGCCGTGGACTCCAGTGAACCCAGTCAGCTCTTTGATGACACCAGTGCTGGGCACAATGCTGGACCCAGTGGTGTGGATAAAGGACCAATGGCCCATGCAGGACAGAGCCTCCTTTCAGACCCAATGTCCAACCTCGCAATGGCCTATGGGAGTAGTCTTGCCAGCCAGGGCAAGGAAATGATGGACAAGAATGTAAGTGGCATTATAGCAAAAAACATTTGCTGTATCTGACAGAGAGGAATGTTAAAGAGGTGGTTTTCAACCTTATCTCAGTCTGCCCCATCTGTAGTATATGGTCATTTATAATGGACAATAAATGAAAGTCCTGCCTATTAGCTTCTATTATAAGTGAGTTTTGAGTCTGTCCTTTTCTAAAAACAAGGAAATGATTGTTCATGGTGATCGACTGTATGCAACAAATGCTGCAGATAGAGAGTAGATTGTGTTTCTTTAAGAGGCACAAGACTGCATGTCATTAAAATACATGTGATTTTCATGCCTCAGTCAACGAAGCTCTTCTTGTGCTTTGCTTGTGCTAGAGGCAAGTTTTTTTTATGCATATTTGTTTTAGACTTGTCACATGGCATGCTGACCAGCACACAGTTGTTTAATATGTGTTACAATTGTAGTGAAAGAGGTCACATGACAGACTGGATCATTGTTTTTTTTAGTTCGTTTGTACTAAAACTCTTTATGATTTCACAGCTTGACCGCTTTATCCCCATCTCCAAACTGAAGTATTATTTTGCTGTGGACACGGTTTACGTTGGCAAGAAGCTTGGACTGCTTGTATTCCCTTATATGCACGAGGTAAGGCTGATATGCTGTTCTTATCATTGTTCTGTGGTGTAACAGCCTGGAATTCAAAGTCATGTTCAAGGGGTACTCAACTGCTGCTTGAACGGTGGATGCAGTAGCGCATGGGAGGTCCTTAAAGGAGAATTCCACCAGTTCTTTAGAATTTCTGCACAGTTCAGTTGAGATGTAAACAAAGTAATTCGGAGTGGTTTGTGTGAAATGGATCATTGTAGAGAAGCTTGCCGAATTAGATTTCTTTACAGTGGTGGTGATGGGAACCAGGGGTCGTGATGTCTACAGTGCAAATATGTCTATTTTATTTACAATCCAAAACCACCAGTGAACCCACACATGTCTTCTGAGCTTTTGTATTGTTGATGATGGTAAAATAGTGGTAAATCTGGGGGGATAAGTTTTCCACCATGAATAAATTTAAAACGTGTACATGTTTTAGGCCAAAATCGTATCACAAAAATGCTATAAAAACACTGCGTCATATCAGACAATTTCATGGTAATAACTTTATAACATTTAACTCTTAAGACGTCTGGTTCCTATCACCACCGCTGTGAACGATTCAGAGTCAGTAAGTTTCATTAGAACAGAGCATCTCACTCCAAATCACTCTGACTTTGTTTACGTTGTAGTCATTTAATCATGCAAGACATTTTTAATAATTGGGGAAATTCCCCTTCAAGAGCAGGTTATACACAGTACTCACTGTCTGTTGCTGCTTATTTGCTTACTTAGTGGATACTTCCATGTTGACTGAAGTTAACTGAACTTCATGTTCAGGTTTTTTTTTAATTTATATTTCTTTAAGGGTGCACCAATCATATTTTTTATGACTGATTCAGATTTCTTTACAGCCAAATCAGCTGATGTTAGAGCTGGGCGATATGGTCAAAAATGTTGTCACGATAAATAAAATTCATATTGTTCAACATCAATACATATCGCGATAAATATCAAGTCATTATTTCTTTCAAGTTTGAAGGCTGATTTTTGCTCCTGGCTGGTTAATTGCTGTTTTAAACTTATCCTTTATGGTCAGAACATGACAAACACTCAACAAACAGTGGAACATTTCACAAATCTGGGAGAGTCATGGGAGAGTGGGGGAAAGTTTCTGGTTGGCTGTTTTTACCAGCTGGGAAAGCACGGCCACAATTTTTGTAATAGTCATAATTTAAGAAAGAAAACGAGTGCTGGGCTATCTGGTTACAAATGCTAAACGAGTGGCCAACAACAGTGCTAAACTGTTTAGTTTCTCAACAATGTCAGTTTAGTACGAACAGCAAACATTAGCTGTCATATCACAGTATTCAAACACCAGCTAGTAGACGACTGGATTTCTCTGTAGTAATTTGAGGGTGAACCGCAATATATCTAACACCAGACAAATGGAGTCCGCCTTTTAGGTACGTTTAAACTGAAATCGGTGCTTTTGTGTCTTATTTGATCTACAGTAACTTCAATTCTCCGTGCTGTGCGAGTGACAGAGCGCTGCTTCAAGTTAGCCTGCTGCTAAAAACAGCTAGCCTGGAAAGATAGCGCTCTCCTGCTCTCCAATGCCTCACAGCTTCCTCAGTTTACTTTCGTTTAAATCAGGACTGTAATTTACATGAGCCCACTTCTTTCTTTCACTTTCGTTGCTTGGGAATACACTAATACTAAAATATGACTGTAGTTGTGAGGAGCAGACCTGTTTTAATGCTGCTAAAGCTTGTTAGGATGTAAGGAAAGAGGTGAGTTCACTGTAGGACAGTACAGTTACACCACTTATCTCGTCACTCACACTCGGTCACAGGAGTACAAATCACTGATCGCTCCACTCAGACAGGGAATGTATGACTCCACATTTCAGACAGGGAATGTATAACTCCACATTTCCCCTCCCTCTCTAATCATCTCGAAAATCTCGGAAGTGCGCCCTCTCCTGGCAACAGCATAGTAGTGTCGCTTTCCTTGCAGTAGAAAATGCCACCAAGGCTGTCGCTAGAAAGTGGAAGTGTGGGAATGGTGTATTATATCGAAACGGTATCAAACATTTCTTATAGTTCTATTGAGGAAAGTTATATTGTGATAATTATCGTTATCATTTTATCGCCCAGCTCTAGCTGATGTTTATTAGCCTTTTGAAACATATAAGTACACTTCTATTAAACTTTGTTTTTTTGCATTATTTGCCCTTTAATGGGCTAAACTCACATTTGAAATCTTTACTGTATCAAATAGTAACTATGCTACAACATTTTGGTTTAAGTTTAGCAGCAGCATTAAAATATAGCATAAGTGCACTTACCTGTCTTACTTACCTCATAAAATTTCAGCACAGATGAGCAAAAATCAGCCAGTTGCGTGTTTGTAGCAAAAATCGCTGTTTCTGTTCGTGGATTCTGCATTTTTTACATTGTTTGCTCTACTGCATGCTTTTGCTTTGGGTCGCAGTTTTTCAAATGTACTGATGGTCTGATTAGTTCTGTTTCTGAATTTTAAATATTTTATTGATGTGTAACAGGGAAAAAATAAGTAAATAAACAAATATTACACAAGCTTTTATTATAATTCACTATAATTCAATTTTCTGTAAACATTTTAGTCGTCTTTCATCTTTTACTGTCTGATCAGTGTTCCTTACTTGTGCAAAGGTTTTGGCACAAATTACATGTTCTCTTGATTTTCTAAGTGAAAAGTTAACACATCCTCTATTGAGAACACACTTCACATTTTGATGCACAATTAGTGTTCATTTGCTGGATTTTGTCATCTACCTCAAGATTTGATTTGTGTCTCAGTAGTGTATGATGGCACGTACAAACGAGGATTCTGGGTTAATGTTAGCATCTCATTTTTTTGCTTTTTCTCTGTGTGGTCACAGAACTGGGAGGTGAGTTACCAGCAGGACACTCCAGTAGCTCCACGCTTTGATGTCAATGCTCCGGACCTGTACATTCCCGGTAAACTGTGACATTATTTATTTATTTATTTTAATTTTTTCCTCAATCAGAAATGGACAAGTTTATTAAGATCTCTGTTGGTAATTTAGAATTATAATGTCGATGTTCAAAACATCAATGTTTTCTCCTCGTTGTTGTACTTTTTATAGCATGTTTTACTGGGGATAGTTTTATCAGCATAATATGTCCTTAACTGATGTGTGTATTGAATACATGGACTATATGCCCCATTCCGCTAAATAACCATTTTCCCTGTTTGTGTATTTCCAGCTATGGCTTTTATCACTTACATCCTGGTGGCAGGATTGGCCTTGGGGACACAGAACCGGTAAGATGGGTGTTCTGCCCTCTCTTGCACTCCTGTGACAGGTCTTTGTGTACTGTTCAGTGTCTGGCCCCTCTATTTTTAAACCATACATTAGTGTAGACCTACTGTTCTGATTCTAAGGCCCTTTTTACACAAAGCATGCAAAAGAGTTTATTTTTAATTCAAAGACTGCTGCAATACAAAATTAAGGATCAACTTTCCAGTGAGTGTACTTGGCATGAGTTGCTTGTGCTTGTAAATAGCTGATGACGTGACTGCTATTTCTGAATACATGGGTTCTGTGTTCTGGTTTCATACTTTGAGTGGTTTTGTGCTGTAGTTTCACATGCTGTAAAAATATGTGCAAGGTATGATGTAGCTAGTCAATTACAGATATAGATACAAACTAAATAACTATAGTGTCCATTTGGTCTTGTTGATGCGTGATGTTACTTTGGACTGCAGCACCTATTATCTTGTATATGTTATCTGCATAGTGTGTCATTTATTATTATTATTATTATTATTATTATTATGTTGTTGTTGTTGTTGTTGTTGATGATGTTTTTGTTGTTATTATATCAAACTTTTCTGTGCATTATAAGGTAGAATAATGTAGCTTGTCATCAACATACCTGTGATTTTCATGTCTGTTTGTCAAATGAAATGCTATATCATTAAATCTGTCCATCTGTTTCTCTTTCCAGGTTTTCTCCAGAGATCTTAGGCATGCAGGCTAGTTCAGCCCTGGTGTGGCTCATTATTGAAGTGCTTGCTGTTCTTCTGAGTCTTTACCTGGTCACAGTAAACACAGACCTCACCACCATTGACCTGGTGGCCTTTTCTGGATATAAATATGTTGGGTAAGGACCTGAAATGAAGAGCTGCTTCCTATATCGCTGACATTGCAGTAAAGTGAAAACTGAGAGTGCACAACCATTAATCCTAAATGAGAAAAGCTTAGAGGATAATTTCCTCTGATTTGTTCTTCTGTCTCTGATTTGTGGGAACTCGATTCATTTCTGGGCATTTAAAATGCTGATATGGCTTGTAATGTGAAGCTCAAGGCTACAGCTCGACCCCTCCATAATGTTAACGGTCTTAAAATGAGGCAATAGAGCTTGAGGAAAGTTCTGACACTTAACCATTTTTGTGCTAAAACGACTGAAAACCACTGAAAAACTTTGATTATAGCTGCTAATGGCCAGTTGCTGAATTCCAGCAGTAAGCTAAGGTGCAATACTGTGCAAGAGTCAGAGACCACCCTTCATGTATATAAATTAAAAGTTAAAACAGTCCTTAAGTTGTTTAGGTTTTTCAAAAGGTATTTCTGAGGAGATTACATACAAGACAATCTACTTGCATAAGGAAGGTGAAAGTCAAAGGAAAATAAGTAAAAAAACAAGAGTGTCCAAAACTGAAGCTCAGTTGTTTTATAAATATACACAGAAAATGGGCCAAGACCAGGTAGACCACCAAAACTGTCCCATCAGATAAACAGCACTTAACGCTTCCATCTTTGAGAGAGAGTAGAAAATCAAGCTGCTTCAGATCTGAAAAAAATCCACAGGTGTTTCTGTCCATCCTTCCACTGTGAGAAGACAACTCAGCGCTATGGGTCTGGAAGGATGTGTAGCTGTCAAGAAGGCCTTACTGAGAAAAGGAAATAGACAAAAAAGAACAGTTGCAAACAAAGAAGCTGCTCAGAACAATTGACTGACCCTACCAGAGTCCAGACCTCCACATCACTGAATGTGTGTTGGATTACTTGGATTGTGAGAAGCAAAATGCTAAACCAGCTTCTAAAATTGAACATTTGGAGAAAAATATTACTGCAAATTTATTTGAAAAGCTGATAGCAAGTCTCCTAAACAGAGGAGAGGGCAAAAAGTGGATACTGTAAATACTGACAAAGTTGATATTTATATTTAGTTGTGTATATATAGTTATTATATTTAGTTGTGGCTTCTGTATAATTTTCTGTTAATTAAATGTTTTCTGCTTAATGGCTTTTTTTGACTGGAAGTGAAATAAATTAAGGGTGGTCTCTGATTGACTCTTGCACAGTACTGTATGTGTAATTTAAGCTGTAAATCTCTATAATTCTTTCAGAGACAGGACTAGTTTCCCCAACTCTGCCTGATCACACATCATTACCCGAAAACTGTAATTGCTTTTTGGTGCTCCAGAGTTGGATACATTTTTTTTTCTTTGTTTTTAGAGTATAATTGCCGTATTATATCATTTCACATTATATAGGCATATAATAAATGTTTAGGTTGAGCTTTAGTGAGTTCATTTGTGATTCCGTCTTTTTTCCCCATAGGATGATAGTAGGAGTGCTGGCAGGGCTTCTGTTTGGAAAGATGGGATATTACCTCACACTGCTCTGGTGCTGTGCGTCTATCTTCGTCTTTATGGTGAGTTATTCGCGGATTGTCTTTACTAATTTGGTTTTGGCTTTGCTACCTTTAGATAGTTTTACACTGTACAGTAACATTTACAGTGCAAGCAGTGGAGGGAAACAGCGTGGAGGATCACAGATACACAGTTTAGTGCTTTCTCCTCTGTTCTGCTGAGTCAGGTCCAGTACAGCACGTAAGTGTTGTAGCCAAGTTGTACAGTGTTGAGGTCTGTAATTACCGCAGCCTGTGTCTCTTCATCGCCTCGAAGTAGAATGTAGTTGAGAGCTGATTTGACCTCATCAGTAACTCTCAGTTTCTTATGTGTGGTTGTTAAGCCAGCCCCTTGTGTTAGAGCTCTGGTGGGAGAGTACCAGCTGTTTTTCAGTTCTACATTTCGATTCTTTTAACAGCTGGTGCACAGAAAACAACAGAACAGATACATTTAGAGATGCTGCCTATTCAAGATGTTTTCTATCAGGTTGTTTTTTGCTTTTGTGCAGGTACATGGAGTGTCACAGGTTCTTGTGTGATCTTTGCTTTTGGTTCTTGTATATGTGATAAAGGAACTGCTTGTAGGTCAAAATCTCACGGGTTTTAATTAAAGAAAGCGCTTTTTTTGTTACGATATGAAACGAGCAGTTGAAGCACTGCCTTTCTCTTTTTTGTTTTGTTGTGATTGAGCATGAATACCAGTAAATTATATGTATATGAACATGTTGGGGCGTGTCTGTTGCAGATGATATGTAAATAAGGTACTAGTGCACGAGCGCTTGTTTTCACGCACTGAAGCTAATTCACCAGTTGCGCCCAAATCACTGCTTATTTCGTCATCCTACAGCTGTGCTCTTTCTACACAACTTTGATGAATAAGGACCACTGAGTGATGTTGATGTGATTTGGTGTTAGACGTGTAGTTCTTTCTGTGGGGTCGTAGAGTGTTTGAGTAGTTTCAGATGATAGCCTACTTTAATATGGTCTTAAGTGAACTGCTTCAATTAAAAATGGATCATTCTAAAAATGAGTGGTTTTTAAAGAAGAAATGTCTGATTAATATCAGTACGATACTCAAGGTTTCAATTTCAGAAAAGAAAAGGTAGTATACTGCTATCTCTATTAAAAAAAAAGCGTGTATATAGAAATGTCCATCAAGCTCTGTAACCGAAAGCAAAAGCAGTAGAAGATTTTAAACTACACATTATCATCACAGCTGGGTGACTGAGAAGGTAAATATTAATCAATGATTTCTTTTTAAACTGAGTAATCATGACAGCCCTCCTCTGAATCCTGTCATTTGTCTCTGTCCGCCGTAGATCCGAACGCTGAGGTTAAAGATTCTGTCCGAGGCGGCTGCAGAGGGGGTTCTGGTCCGAGGAGCGAAGAATCAACTGCGCATGTACCTGACAATGGCCATCGCTGCTGCACAGCCTGTGTTCATGTACTGGCTAACCTTCCACCTGGTTAGATAAGAGTCGGAGCGCCCATGTTAAAGCTACCACTACAGTGACAACTCAGACACTCTCCGTCCTACTTGAAAGAGAGAAAAGATTTTTTGCACAGATGCAATTAAAAAAAAATAAAGAAAACAAATGGACAAGCATTGCAAAGTCTCACAGCACAACAGTAAGTGTCATTGTCCAGCTGTCTTTTGTATGGCGAGCCTTGTTTACTTTTTATGTACATTTCTAGGAGCGACTGTTGGCTTTTTGTGTTTTTTGTATAATGTACAGTGCATTTGTTTGATTTCTATTTTAAAACTATGTGAACACGTGTAATAATGTATAAAATGTGACTTGGACGAGTCTGTTGTATCTCTGAAGCTTTATTTGAGCCAGTCTGCACGGTTTAACACTGAGTCCTGTTTATGTTTGACACAAAACGCCAGCCATATCTTTGTTTCTGGCTCTAGATTGTGTGTGTGTGTGTGTGTGTGTACGTTTCTCTGCGACTGATTTTAAATGAGTCAAATGCTTCTGTTTTGTAACCACTCTGACAAATGCTTTATAGAATGAAGAACAATTCATGACTGAGCTTTTGCAATTAAAGTGTAAAAACAGTGTCCCTTCCTGTTTCGCTTAAAATGAAGAATTGTGACGTAGCTGTTTAAAACATAAAGGTATACATTTTGCTTTCCTGTAGGTCTCTGTCTAGATTTTCTAACTCTAATTGATGCTTCTTCTTAATTCCTTGCTCTTACATCCTCCAGCCTGTAGTGCTGTAGAACTACAGTCTCAAGACATTTTTGACTTGTACTAAATAGTATTTGTTCTTGAACTTCGGTCATTAGTCTCAGCAAATTTAGCCTCTGGTCTTGGCTGAGACCAACTACTGTTTAAACCAGGAGTGTCACTGATGTGAAGCACCAAAAGCCGCAGTCACGTCCATAAAAAAGTCAGCAAAGTTACTATAGTCATCTACCACAACATATTGGAGTCAAATTAAATGATGAATATGAGCTCAAAGAGCTCAGAGGTTTGAGGGTATTCACTTCCAAATAGGGTGAACACAGCACTGCTGTGTCTGATCTACTCGTACCAGCGCAACACACACTAACACACCACCACCACGTCAGCGTCACTGCAGTGCTGGGAATGATCCACCATACAAATAATATCTGCTCTGTGGTGGTCCTGCGGGGGTCCTGACTATTGAAGAACAGGGTAAAAGGGGGTTCACAGAGTATGCAGAGAAACAGATAGGCCTCAGTCTGTAATTATAGAACTACAAAGAGCACCTATATAGTAAGTGCACCTGGCAAAATGGACAAAGAGTGTAGATACAAGGAGGGGTACTTAACAAAGTGGCCGGTCAGTGTATGTGTGCGTCCAGAGCTATGCATCTGATGGAACAAACTTCCCCCTGAACTCCGCACTGCACAGTCACTCAGTTAGTAGTCTGAAGACTCACTAAAGGTTAAGGTGACCAGATTTCTGAAATGTAAACGAGACCTTTCCAGTTTGGCCATCAGTATATCATTAAAATACCCAATGTTTTTATCTATAATATTAAAGGGGTGACATTTCCAGTTTCATGTGTTTTGAACATGTTAACTGTTGCATTGTAATAAACTATGGTAAAGTCCGACTGATAAAACTGGATACAAACTACATAACTTTGTAAACAGTGTCAGAAAATCCTTAGGTAGTTTACCATGGTGAATGAAGCTATATTAAACTATGGAAAAGGAGACCCATGGCTATAGCCCAATAGGCACACCCTAAACACACCCCTGGCCTAACTCCAGTTCTGGTGAGACAGAGACAGCTGCTATCAACAAATGCCATATGTCATATATGGATGGCTGACAAAGTGGTGCAGTTTAAAAAAATGATGCACTATTTGTAGATGGCATGGAAGTCTATGTTCAAGTAGACGTATAAAAATCAGATAGCCTCTCGTCACCTGGTAGTGTGATTCAAGTCCCCCTGCTTTTAATACCTGGGTTGAAAAGATATTTGTGGTAATGTGAACTCACTTAAGACTTGCTAGCTTCTGATTGAGGTTTACAGCAGTATTCTCTAAAACTAGGTGAGCAAGTGGTCAGTAGATAGCAGAAGGAACCCCCTCTGTTGGCCAAAACAAGCACAGTGTGAGATGTCAGCATGTCTGCTCTGCTGCCAGGTCTTTCTCAGGACTTTCTGGTGTGTTTTTAATTCACACTTAAAAACGGAGACATTTCCGGGTAAAGCTCCAGCCGGGAACACACCACCAAAAATGGGGACTGCACCCGGAAAATGGGGACATCTGGTCACCCCAACTTAGGTTAACCACCTTTTTGCACTCATTCACACTCACAAATCACCGTCTTTTCATTTCTCTCCTCTTTGCTTCTGTGTTTTATTACAGTATTTAATAAAGCACTTAATTCATTTTTTTTTACTGTTTACACTTGTATTCACGCATTTAGATCAGGCATGTCACACTGGGGACCTTCCAGGCCGAAGTGCTGCGGATAGTAGCGTTTGCCCTCATCTAACACGCTGAATTCAGTCCATGAAGGCCTTGCTAATTAGCTGATGAGCTGAATCAGGTGTGTTTAATGAGGCAGTGTGCTGAAGTCTGCAGTGTTTTGGCCCACGAGGACTGGAGCCTGACACGTGATCTAGATTAAGCTGGTGTGGCTCATTTCTCTTTCATTATAGGTTTCTGTATGTTCTCCAGGTACTTTGTGTTGCTTTGGCTTCTACTGTTTGCACATTTTTGAGTCACTCTGGATAAGATGCTAAATGACTAAATGTAGAACACGCCCATGTAAAATTTAGTCTATAATAGGTATACAGGGCTCCTGCAGATCCTTAAAAATCTTATATAAACCTAAAATAGGTTTAAAACATTTAAGGTCATATCTTAAAACATCTCAATTTTGACTATTGGATTCTAAGATGATGTCTGGATTAAAAACACTCATTGTGTATACTAATTAATTACTAATATGTACTATATATATATATTAAACTACTATTAAATATTAAACTAATTCTGAATAGTCTGCCAATCAAATAAAATATTGAGCTGTTAGAGATCCTGTGGTCCAAAACTGACCAGTGATGAATGAATAGAGGATGGCAGAACAAATTTTTAAAGAAATCAAGCACGTTCAAAAGACTACACTGAAAACAGAGCGAATATAGTGGAGCTAAATAGGGACATTGGGATGTTGGCTTATGACTACAGTAGGTATCTCAACGCATGTATCTGTGTTTGATTTTTAAACAATGTTTGAATACAATAGAAATTAAAATAGGCCATATTTAACTTGGTATTATTTTTATTTTTCCCTTTATTGAAGTCTTAAAAATATATTAAAAAGTGCTAAATGAAATTTAAAAAATATGCAGCACAACTAGTCTAAGCATTTAATATCCTAAGATCCTTTAAACCTGGCAACAAGCAACTTTATCAACTGGAGGATGTGTTGGGTTAGGGTCGAAACTGAACTCTGAGGGGCAGCAGAGCACCAGGAACAGGAGCTGGCTTCCTTGTTTTAGGCTACAGCAGGGCAATGAGATGTAAATTAAAAAAATATGTCTTATTGTTTGCTTTCAAGTACAGCTTTTCAGATGGTCCTAGTTTTTGTTGGGGGTTTTTCTGAGCTTTGTAAACTAAGCCAGGAAACATGTAGACCTGGTGCCAAGTGCTTAAGTCCCTGGAGCTAAGAGTGAGTTGCACACATGGTGGTTTTCTGCTGATATGCCTGCAAATATGGTGAGGTGGCAGAACTTACTGCACCCATATGATACAAACATAGTGCTTTTGAAGCTCTGCGCAATTTATGCTCAACTGCACATGCATCAAAATATGTTCAGTAACTCTACTTCATAAAACAACCAGTTATGCTTTATATTAAATGTTGATAGTGCAAACTAATATAAAACTAAAACTATCTATGTATTTTTTTTTCTTGTACTTTTTCATCTAAACACCCTACTCCAGTACATGTACACAATATGGCCAAAAGTATGTGGACACTAATTATTCAGTTCAAGTGTTTCAGCCACACCCATCACTAACCGGTGTATAAAGTCAAACGCATAGCCATGCAATCCCCATAGACAAACAATGGCAGTGAAATGGGTTGTACTGACTCAGTGACTTTAAACTGTCATAGGCTGCCACTTTTGTCACAAGTCATTCTGAAATTTCTGCCCTGCTAGGTCTGCTGTAAGTGCTATTACTGTGAAATGGAAGTGTCTATGGTTAGCTGTATGTTGGTCAAACAGCCTCTTCCTGTCAAAGCAGGTGGTTATGTGCCACGTTAAGCAACAAAACTCGCCAAACTCACTGATGATAAGCAGAAGTCTGGCTTGGGAAACTAAAGATGCACTTGTGGTCCTTCAGTCTTCTTTTGCCCATGCCCTTTGGGCTGTAAGGTGTTCCATTTCTCACTTGCCATTCAAAGGGGCGCTCACAAGTGCCCACTACACACCCTTATTGCGGTCTCCTGCAAGGACTCACTGAGATAGCAAGAGGATACCGGGCCACTGTTGGCCTGCTGATAGCAAACCTGGCAACCCACTGGCTATTTGCTCCGTATTTCCCAGGCTCACTGGTGGTTAAGCAGTGTGTAGACAAAATTCCACTTTTAATCACTTGTTTTCCACTCACAGTCCAGTTTACAGTGCTTACTTGTCCTTCATTTCTTTCTTTCTTAGTTAAAATTATTAATAATATAATTAGTAGTATCAGAATAAAATAAAAGACAATGTGATTTGAAAATCTATTTGAGGAGATAACAAACTAGTTAGAGCTTGTATGCAGGACAATAATCTGGGTGGTCCGAGAGTAACATATAGTCAGCGGAACAATATATGATTTCTATCTGGGCAGCAACAACCTCTTAACCAAAATTCCTTGAAAGGCAGGGGAGAACTATTCAAAATGGATGGTTTTGTTTGCAGGTGTCTGATCAGTATGACTGATAGACACCAGTATGCACAGTCTTTAGAGAGGGCACAGCTCAGGTATTTCAAAAGAATATTTTGTGAAGGCATTTCTCGAGAAGTTCACTGCAGGGTTCTGTATTCTGTATACTATATTCAGTATTCTGTATGTACATCTCATTTTAACTCTACAAATGTAACATATATTAGTCCATTTTCTTGTTGCAAGAACCAAGAACAGACCTAATACTGATAAATGTCATATTATAATTATAAAAATAATTACAATCTCAATGATCCAAATTTGAATGGAGCTAAAAGCTATAAAAACTCCACTCTGCCTTTCAGGACTGTGTAGGCTATTCAGACCACACAGTGACTGTAACCATGGCGATGTAAACCACCCATGGAGTCAGCCTTTTTATGCATTTTTTAAAGCTTTTATTTTCTGGCAGGAGTCGGACTCTTAATTGATATAAGATATTGGATTACAGAGGTAATTTGTTCAATCAGGCGTGACTAAAACAGAAGCTTCTTCTTTGCCAGCTTCTTATTTATCCTACCACCTTGGTACAGGGGCCAGAGTGTAACTGCTGCACTGCTAAAGATGGACTGGAAAATTCAAATAAGAAGCAACTTAAAATGCCATGAAGCTTTGTCAGTTTTCAATAAACC